GCGTGAGCAATACTCGCATACTATGTACACAGTTGAGCGCAATCCATACATACTACACACACGCTGGCATAATCAAAGATCCTAGTAGCAGGTAGAGATGCTGCAATATGCAAGCAACAAAACATAGCTGGGAAATTTCAAATTTGTCAATAAACCACCACTGCCCCCAGAAAACCAGCACTTCTTTTCCGGCCTTCCCGACCAAACCACAACGATGGCAAACACAGAACTGCTGGACACCACCAAGATATCCCGACTGCGAGTTTCCTGTGATGAAACTCCTCTTTTTAAAACTGCTAAACTATACCAACAACTTTCTGAAAACTTAAGGGACTTCCTGCAAGGACTAAGAGAGGGGATACTATAAGAAGGCCGTGCAACTGCGAAAGTTTTCAGAAGAATTGCTACGATATTCTGAGAACTTTCTGGAAGCTAAACATATTCCAACCAGTGGTTAAGAGAGGGAATGCAACCATTAGGATACCCAGTCCCCCCACCCAGCCTTCGCCGACACCACCGCCAGGCCTCATCCCCCCAGCAAACACAGGTTACAGGGCGACCTCGCCCCAGCTCCAGTGAGCATCGTTCTAGACCTCTGGCCACTGGAAATGCGCCCCCCCAAGGCAGTTCCCCAGATCTCTCTACCAGGCCTCATGCTCCCACCTAGCAGCAGGTTACAGGGCAGTGCAACCTAACCCCAGCTCTGGCTAGCGTCGTTCTGGCATCGGCCATCCATAGCCCACGGGAAGTGAACAGTGTCCTCAAAGCGCGAAATGAGTTATTGGTGCTCTATGGGTAACCAGAAAACATCTCCCGTTCCCTCTCCAACCCTCAATTCAGAGAAGCCCCAGAAGCCTCAGCAAGACAGCTACAAAATCCTGTCTCCGTCATCAGAAAGGGTGCCCAAAACGCCAATAGAACCAGGGTTACTTACCCCCAGCTTCCACCCATCAAGGAACCCCCACAGAGATTCCTTAACGCCAGTCGAGTCCAGAGAAAGCCTTCCCCAGCCAGTTCCCCATCAAGATAACCTCAACTCCATCCTCATAAAGAGACTCATTGCCTCCATTTTCAGCAAAGAGCTAGGCATAGTCCTCAACAACAACTCTCCTGCCCCATCAGAGGTTCTTGTCTCGATCATCAAGGGAACTACAAGAGAACCCACGACCAATCGAACCAAGGCAAGCTATCCCCAGCCGGCCTATCAGGACAGCCCTAACGAGCTATTCAATGCCAATCGAATCTGGAAAAAGATTTCCCGTACCTTGCTCATCTCCCACGGTATGATACCAGCTTGGAGCTTAGGGATCAGTGGGGGAAGCGGCACTAGGTATCAATGGAGGAACTGGACACCTGGGAACAGGACAACTGGACCACCTTTTGGACCCGGCTACACGGGCTCCTGGACCAGCGCCAGGTGGGTCTTCTCTGGCTCCATTTGGCTGTGCCAACACAGGAATGTATTTCCACCAAAACTGAGCACCTGGAGACCTTGTGCCAACTATGCCGGTACGCACCTCTTTGTGACTTGCATGTTGTTGACATCCTTCTCGGCTCAATGGACGAAGGTGGCAGGGGAGTTTCATCGTCCTTTTGAACCCTGCTAGGGACAGCAGCAGCCCAAGGGGGCAATCCTCCTCGGCTCCTTACTATCGCCATGCATCCAAGAGCAGTCCACGGGCCAGATTTAGGCAACAGGGGCTGTCAGGGCCGCAGTACCATGGGCCATCTTCCACCACCAAGGTGATGGCATATGTCTAGGATAACCTTTAGTTTGGTTTACAAACTGACTTTGATTCACACTGTCGCCACCTGCATCCCACGATGCCGGTCGAACGCACTCTTTTCGCTAACACGTGGTGGCACTTTGAGGCTTTGGTGGCCATGGACTACACAGGCCGCCGGATAACCTTTGGCCCATTCCCGAAGCCTCATTCGGGGGTAGTAGATATATCAGCAGCCTTGGAATCAGGCATACCCTCTAATGGGTGGTCAGGTACTGGCCAGTAGGGCCCTTTAAACAAGCAGTACATTTCCCCGCTACAAAATCAAATATGTGGCTTGTATACAGCTGTGAAACGGTTTACACCTTTTGCAGTAGCAGATGCAGACCCCAGGGCTCGATCCCTAGCCCTTACCCTACCGGTGTACAGTATCTGTGTCGACCCCAAGGCTTGAACCCACGACCTGTGTATTTGTAACAGTTAGTAGACTGTCGTAGGGTCCGTAGGTAGCAGGGGTTCGATCTGTAGATCTGTAGAATAGAAGTCTTAGTGAGTTCCAGAAGTCTTAGCTGTAGTCCTTCTAGAAGGTCGAGCAAGGGGGCAAGTGGGCAAGTGGTGGACCAACTGCAGTACGTTCGCAGTACGATAGCGGTAGGATAGCAGTGAGTCCCCATTCCGTCAGCGGTAAGGTCCAGTCAGTCCCAGTCCGGTCCAGCAAGTACCACGAGGGACTGTGAGCACCATGGGCCGATGGAAAAGGGCAGACCAACGAGCTTCAGAAGTATAAATCAAGAGGCAGCGCCCAGTCATGCATTCATTCCTGCGTGAGCCATGCGGAAGCGCTGCCACAGCAACTTGTGCAAGGATGTGTGCAGTGAGCCCGGAGCTGAAGTGGGTGAGAGAGGAGCGTAGCATAGCGATAGGGTAGTAGCGGCCATAGCCGCCATAGCTAGAGTTAGTGTGTAGTGTGTGTGTGTGTGTGTGAGTGCAGAGTAACGCGTGGGGGATATCCAGGGTGATCCGGGGTATGCGAACAGAGAGTTGTTTGGGCGCTGAGTCGCCATAGCCATCGAAAGTGAACTTGTATCTGGACTGTGT